CTACATGGAAGCAAGTAAGGTTGTTCCCTCTCCAACACGCCGATACGCTGACATCCTAAAAGCTCCACAACTCAACCAACTCCCTCAACCTTCTCAATCCACTCAGCCTACCCAATCCCTCCAGCACACACAGTCCTACAAAAAAACTGTGGTTCGCCAACCTAAACCTCGATCCCCACTCTCACACTCCTACGATAAAGTCCCACACCAAGCCATTACTCAACCTCCCCAACCTTCACAACCTAATGGTTGTGCTATGAATAACTCATCCCTTGAATCCTCAACTATTGATCTTCTGTTACAACTCTTAACCTCCCTACTATCCCCCAATTCATCTCTATCCCAGTCTATTATACCGTCCAACGTTGCTGTCTCACTTATCAATATTTTAACAAATTTCAAAAATGGCGTCCCACAAAGTATTCCTACAATGGAATGTGAGGAGTGTATTCCATAAAAAACACGACCTCATATTCCAGTTGAACAAATTCAAGCCTCTGGCTATTTCTCTCGCTGAGACCTGGCTTTTACCAAGTCTCAACTTCCATGTCCCCCATTTCAATATTCTTAGATGTGATAGGCCTGATGGCTATGGAGTTGCTGCCCTCCTTATTAATAATAAAATCCCCTTAGTCCCCCTATCCTCGCCCCCATTCCTTGAGGATATCAGCATGGTTGCAGCTAAGATCTGTAACATATCTGTGCTCTCTATTTATATAGCCCACCCCCATCAAAGTTTCCTGCCTACATTGAGAATGATTTTACAGGATCTACAGGGCCCAATATTGGTTATGGGAGACTTTAACTGCCATCACTATAGATGGGGATCTGAACACTGCGACTCTTTCGGTTCAGGTTTAGTGGAGATCCTCGATGATCTGAGCCTCTGCGTACTTAACAGTGGCTGCTCCACTCGTAGAGTTCTTCCTGGTCAAAATAGTAGCTGTGTGGATTTGACTATTTGCTCACTCGACATCGCCGCAGCTGCTAGCTGGCAGTGCACCGATCTGTCCCATGGTAGCGATCATTATCCAATTTTAGTAACCCTCCCAACTTCAACCCACTTGGTAAAATCTCCCCCCCCCCCCTTTTAAAATATATCCTTTCAGAAGCTAACTGGCAAAATTTCTCCCAAACCCTCGAAAACTCTGTGAATGCTCTCCCCAGACTAGACCTTAGACCCTTAACCCAGGATGATCGTTACCTGGTGATGGACTGTTGTGACGCGTTCGTAGAGGCAATCAGATCAAGTGCAGACAGTTCCTTCAAAATTAAAAACTCGAGCAAAGGCAAAATTCCGTCACCTCCTTGGTGGGACAGTGAATGTACTAGGGCAGTCAAGTATAGGAAGGAGTCCGAAAGGAGATACAATGCCGATATGACCACCCATAATCTACTCACCTACCAAAACGTTTTCGCCTCTACCAAAAGACTCCTTCGACGCAAGAAGCGCGCCGGTTGGGTTAAATTTTGTTCCTCCTTGTCCCCATCCACCCCATCCTCAATGGTGTGGAAGAACATAAATCGGTTCCGATCTGGTTGTTCGCCCTCTGTCTCTTCCTCTATCTCCCCCAATACAGCTGAGCTTTTCCTGGACAGAATTGCCCCCCCGTATGTCCCACAACTCGATGAAGCGACCTTACCAGACTTACCGTTTCAGTCAGTGGATACCCATGACGACCCATTCTCTCTGGAAGAACTGAACATGGTCCTCAACAGTGTGCGAGACTCGGCTCCTGGCATAGACGGCATTCCATATTCTTTCATAGTTCAGGCCAAGCCTAGTACAAAAACTTATTTTTTAAACATTTTGAATTTCTGTTATTCTAACGGTTGGATCCCAGATACATGGAAAGTTCAAATTATTATCCCCATTCTAAAACCAGGAAAACATGCTGGTGATCCAAACAGCTTTAGACCAATCGCCCTCTCATCAGTCCTTATTAAATTATTAGAACATCTCATCAAAAACCCTCTCGAATGGATTGTATAGTCAAGGAATCTACTGCCAAACTATCAGTTCGGCTTTCGCAAAGGGCTCAGTACAATGGACAGTGTTGCAGTTTTAATAACTGATATCCGTCTTTCTTTGTCACAAAATGCATCTGTTCTAACATCTTTTCTCGACATATCTGCTGCATATGACAATGTCTTAATACCCATTCTCAGGCAAAAACTGCATCAGCTGAGAATTCCGGTTAAGATGATCCACTGCATATGCGCAATGCTTGTGTCCAGAACTCTAGTCCTAAGGACCTTAGGTGAAGAGTTTGGCCAAAGAAAGACCTGGAGGGGCTTACCACAGGGCTCTGTACTGAGTCCGTTGTTGTACAATCTGCCGACATGGGTTCATGCCTAAACAATGATTGTAGCATCCTTCAATATGCCGACGATCTGGCATTATATGTTTCGAACCATTCCATCCAAGAGGCAGCCACATCACTCACTATTTCCCTTAATTCTCTGTGGCAGTGGCTATCAGATCATGGCCTTAGTCTTTCTGCTCAGAAAAGTGCGGTTGTTATTTTTACAAGAAAGAAGACTCTGCCACAGATTGATGTCCAAGTACAGCTGCAGGAAATTCCTTTATTAAACAAATTTAAGTTCCTAGGAGTATATCTTGACTCTAAATTGACTGGCGTTCACCACATGAACCATTTAACCGCAAAATGTGAACGTGTAATCCCAATTTTAAAGGCCCTAGCTGGGGTCTGGTGGGGAGCACACCCATACACCATGAAACTGGTATATAATGCCTTAGTACGCAGTATATTGGACTATGGGCTATTTTTACTGATTCCATGCAATAAAAGCGCTTTGGCAAAGCTGGACAGAGTCCAATCTAGGTGCCTTCGCATTGTTACTGGTTGCATGAAGTCCTCCCCTATAAATGCCTTACAAGTGGAATGTTCAGATCCACCTTTATCAATAAGAAGACAATTTCTCGCTTCACGTTTTATAATAAAATCTGTTTGTAAATCTTCCCATCCTCTTCTTCCAAAAATCTTAGAATTAGACTCCATTTGTACTACCTCAAATTACTGGACTCATAAGGGAATTCCATTGATTCTACAATCCTTTCGCTCCTACTCTACTTTTTTTAACTCTGCTGTGTCATTTGACAAACTCCCTCTGTTTTCCTTTAATTATAGCGTCCTTTGTTTTAAGCCGAATGTTCTTCTGGATGTTGGAATCCCTAAAAAATCTGCCTCTTCTGTTTCCACCTTTAATACACACTTAGCTGAACACTGGGATGGGTTTGAGAGGTTCTTTACTGATGCATCCAAACTTAATAATGATAGCTACACTGGAGCCGCTGTGTACTTCCAAAACTCCAGAATTCTCTTACAATATAAGTGTCCAAAAGAGGCTTCAGTTTTTACAGGCGAGTGTGTTGCTATCTTAGAGGCATGCTTGTACATTGACTCGCACAACATCCACAAGGCAGTCATATTCACTGACTCTCTAAGTTGCCTTAAAGCCCTGCTACAAAATCCCTTTCGTAGTAAACTTCACAGTCCGCTGATCCTTGAAATAAAAAAAACCCTTTTGAATTGTTCCACCAACTCAAAAATAGTTCAACTGGTGTGGGTTCCCAGCCATAGTGGCATTGTGGGCAATGAGTGTGCAGACTCACTGGCCAAAAGTGCTGCTACTTCTGCAATGTCGGACCAGAAACATCTTACACACCAGCATTACGATCTCTTAAGACTGCCTCAGAGAGAATTGTTAACATCCTGGCAGGAAGAGTGGAATAATTCCTCAAAGCATAAAGGGCGTCACTACTACGCAATCCAACCAAGCATTACCCCAAAACCCTGGTTCTATAAATTTAAGAAGGTATGTAAACGTGTCATCTCCACCATATGTAGGCTCCGCATAGGTCACTGCAGCTCACCTGTGTTCCTGAACAAGATTCGGGTACGGGATTCGTCCTTATGTGAATGTGGCTTAGATGAAGGCAATCTAGATCACATATTCTTCAGTTGTCCTAAAAATATCCCATCCCTAGATCTCTATTCTCACCTTACCGAACTAAAAATCCCCATCCCTATTAACTTCTCATCTCTCCTAACATTTTCATCCCCCCGCCTTCTCCAGGTCTTGATGTTGTTCATCCGATCCAATGACATCAGACTTTGACCTTCATTTCTATGAATTTTGAATTTTATTTTTTTTGTGATTGTTTGCTTATTAGTTACCTATTTATTTATTTAATACATATCTTATCTATTTGTACTTGTCTGCTTGTTTCAGTGTAAATACTAACCACAACAAAAAGCCCCACATTCAGTCTACAATTAATATCATCAATTCAATTTTTTGTGTAATTAAACCCACGTATTTCCATCGCACTTGACACTGGCAGAATTGTCGACATCGGCACAGTTTGCCATTTATGAAGAAGAAGAAGAAGAAGACGAAGTATGACATTGTGCGACAACGGTAGAGTGAGAATTTTTACTACATAATACATTACTCTTACTAATTTAGTGACATAATTTATAGATGACCCCCTAAGAAGTTCCGAAGGAAGACGTAACTATTAAATAAAATGTATATTTTATGTAAGCTCATTCGTGTAATTTATTGTTTATTTACATATTGATTACTAAAACAAAAAAATACATCAAAACACTATTTGATCATTGTGTAAATAGAGTACCACTTCCTCGAATCTCAAATGTAGGTATGCCCCATTGACGGCCATAACAAGTTTTTATTTAGTCGCGCGTGTCAAAATAAACATAAGTATTGAACGAGCAAAGTGAGGAAAGGAACTGGCGCAACTCTGACGTATGTTACACAAAACCGAGGGATTTACCGTACAAATAGTAACAACCAATACGGATTTTGTAAATATCTAAATCATATATAAAACCTGTTGCTCCCGACAAAGGCCATCAGACCATACAAGACCTCAGACGAACAAACTTCTTACACAACTTTAATAGATAACCTTTGATTTAAATTACTTTCTTAATCTTGTATTGGGAGAAATGGCTTTTACGTACGGTAAGCATTTTTATATATTTATTTTACTGTAGCATAATTTTATGTGATATTCAAATGATAATGCATTTAAAAAGATAGGTAGGTACTAGAATTAATTTCTATTCATTTGCCAAAGTTTTATATTTATATGTTGTAGTTTAAAGTAAAATTAAATGTCAAAATTGTGCCTACGAATGTTTTCATATCTAAACTGTTTGGTCTCGTGATGATAGAGACGGCTGATTCTGTCAGTCGAGAGTTACATTCCCACCGAATACTATATGATGAACACTATCATTTGTTCTATGTCTGGGTGTAATTTATCAATAATACTTGTGTATTTAAAAATATGGAAGTAACTACATATATTTATCGCCAGTCAGGTTAGCAGAATACACGCTCTGCGTAGTGTGGGATCAGATGGGCGTGTGTCCCTAAAACTAACGTGTTGATTTGTTCCACCCGGGTTCGATTACCTGGTGGAGTAGCTTTCTAGACTTTTCAGCCAAAAAAATACTAACCGATATAAGTTACACAGTAGAATGCGAGTTATAAGTATTTGATTTTGAAACCATTTGATTTTAAGTGCAAGCAAAATTGAACTAACCATTTTTTATTCTAATATTTGATTTTCTTTCTAAGAACGTTATATCAAAATTGGTCGTTGTATTTACTAAACAAAGAAGTACAGAAGGTCTTTTTAAAACACATCCATCGATCTAAACTATCTATTACCGACAGTCTTCCTGGCTACTATAATAATCAGAGGTTACAGGGCCTTACCGTATACAATTGACATATGATATACCCTTGGGCAATGACACTTAATTTCATATGATTTTTCCAGGAATATTGTTACTCGTCGTTGCACAAATGAGTACAGCGTTCGCTCATCCACCCTGTGCGTGCACCAGAAACTTCCAACCGGTGTGTGGCTCCGATGCACAAACGTACAACAATAAGTGCCTTCTCGATTGTGCTTCCTCCCAGTCCGAAACAAAAATCACAGTTTACAAAGATGTTTCTTGCGAATCTCTGCGAATCCCCGACTCCTGCATATGCAACGCAATTCACTTGCCCGTATGCGGCAATGATGGTAAAACGTACTCTAATGAGTGTGATTTAAATTGCAACAAAGAAAGATTCAACAAATTATTGGTAGTAGAGCATTCAGGTCCTTGTCAGAGCCACTGAGTGATTTACAGTTCAGTGTTCTTATTACCTATGGGAATGATTGTATGCTAAACCGTGCAGCTTGCAACATCCCAGTATTAAGAAGCATACATGACAGACCGTCATGACAAACTTGGGTAGTTCGACAACAAAATCAATGAGCCATCAATGGTCATAATATTGTAAGTAAGGTCTTACGTTGATCATAATTCATAACATCCATTAGTCTAGTTATAAACAGTTTTGTATTAATACAGATTAGTAAAAACACTTTAAAAGTTGAGCCTAGAAGGATACGTGTTCAAAAACTAATTTTATTAATTTAAACACTCAAAAGATTTGAAACAATTGTTTTTTTCTAAATAAGTATTAATTATTTAATTAATGTAATGAATGAAAAAATGAAACAGGACTAGAATATACTTAGATGTTTATGTTATTTTTTATTTCATTTGTATGTATGAAAATGTATCTTGTATAAAAATAACGTTACTTTAAAACGTGATCTGTATTAATATTAATAAACTTATGAAATTCAAATAATAAATATAAAACTATTGAATATTTTTACGAATGTCTAAAGTTTTTTTTTAATTTTATTAGGAGTACAAATTGTCATTACAGTAGTTTTATGAATTGAGTACTTTATTTGGAGTATAGATTTGTTACCTTGTTTTATATTTATTTTTATACGTATTTTTGGGAAATATTACCTTTCATTGAAGGTGCAAATCAATTGTGTGCTTCCACCCTTTATATCCCTCCCACCCGGACTAAAGGGGAGGGGGCGGGCCTTCTCTCAATCTGTGAAAAGCAACGAAAGAATTGCTTAACACCGGTTTTCTGTGTAACCGTGCTCATCCAGTAGAGCCGGAATTCGGCCCCTGTAGCATACTCTGACACGCTCCCATTTATAAGCTATTTTTAATTAAGTTGAGAACTTATTCGCAAACCTCGAAGGTCAATTTTCGTCATAAAAGTTCGTTGAAAATTTTATAAAAGCTATTCTCATAGTAATGTATTATACATCCAACGTTGACTGTAACGTGATTGTATCATATTGTGACCGAAAGTTAAATCGGTATTCTGCAAGTCTTAGTAAAACTTTACTACGAAAATACCTTTTATAAAATTTGTGAGATCAGATGGATCGGAACTGAATGTGAACGAACTTTCATTACGAGAATCGACCTTCTGATGTGATCTTCTGCTAGGTTGTCGATCGATCACCTGTTAAATTAAAACATGCTCATATCTCCTACAGAAAAGTATATTTGTTTTATGAATTAACACATTGTCAGGTAGAGGTAGATTGCTATGAAAATACTTAGACTACAAAATGTATGATGTTACACGGCCGTCCTCGCTATGCTTTCAAGGTTGTACTAATGTTTAAATGTTTAGTTTACTTTATATTTGTATACATACGTACTATTTATTCTTAAGTATTCGATATTCAAAAGCAAAAGGTGGCTAGTCATAGTCTTATTTAAGGGCATAAAGTCACAGGTCCTATTCCAAACCGTACTCGTATGAAATTTCATATTTTTTGGACTTTAATCAGTTCAATTCTTAAATAAAAAATCAAACTGAACACCGGTAACTTGATTAGAAGTGGGGCTTTCCTAGCGTAAAGCAAAAATGGTTCTCCAAAAGATTTGTACCGAGCAACCCAAACAATTAAGCCGTCTTCATCCACTGTAACCCTGCACCTTTGATTTTATGATACGTGGGCAAACGAGCAGATCTGTCACCTGATGGAAACTGACTACCGCCCATGAACGCCTCAGACTCAGGAGTCACAAACGCGTTGCCGGCCTTTAAAGAAGAAATACGCTCTTTTCTGCAAGGTTTGAAGGTCGCGTGTAATACATACGCTAGAGAATGCAGAGTGAAGCTACATCTCTACGTAACGCGTAAGGGGTAGGGTAGAGCTGGTCGGTGATCTTCTGGCTATCACAAAGTACTTAAACTTATTATAAGTCACACATAGTCGTCAGAAGTGTTCCATTTGTGACACACGCACTTGTGGCTCTTGAGTTGTAGGTGTCAATGGGCGCCGGTAGTCACTTAATAATCTAGTCCATCTGCTCGTAATCTTGAAAAAGAAATCACAGGTACCAATCAGGCAATGTACTCAGGTGTTGATTGACACAACGTAAAGTTTTATCTATAATTTGTATTTGTTCCCCAACACTAACAGGTAAAATATTTGCGTAGAAGTATAATCAGTAAACATGTTAAGAGTTGTTTGTAAGTCCTAGACTTGCAATATTTGTATGCGCTAAATTCCGCCTTTGGTTAATCTTGCATTTTATATTTTACTAGAGAACGCCTGTAGAATTTAGTCTGTCTTGTTGCATTTCGTCACCTAGTATAACTTGAGATGTTTGTACCATGACAGATCAAAATATATATTGGAATTTTATACATTTGATACAATTTTTAAGTTACTAACACAACTAGACATGGGAATTATTGCTACTATTGAATCATAATCATACAATGAAATGATTAGTTTTAGTCACTGCTAATTGTGATTTGGTCATAGACAAAGATTATTAACACCAAAATTCCTTTGATCAAAGATTACGATATATTTTAGAACTTTAATTAATAAGCGTCGCAGGGGTTTTGTAAGTTGGTCACAGGTGTGATTATATTCTTTATAAATCATATGTATTTATCACAGGAGATTATGACAGACAGACATAAGGCATAAGAAGGAAAGGTATTTTTAACCCTTAGTGTGATATACTGTAGTGACGGGCTTATTTTTGTAAAATAGTAATTATTTTTGTGTCATTTTGGCAACTCCTTCATCGTGCTGGCAGACTGGATCACTCATTTTGGCAATAAAAATAAAATAATATAAAACTAAGCAGTCTAAAGTAAAATATCCCTATTGGCAGCCCTGGGACATAATATGGGAGAGACTAAACCGACCTTCATCATCATCATCAACAGCCTTTAATAGTCCACTGCTGGACACAGGCCTCTCCTTAGAACGGAGGTTTTGGCCTACTATACCACGCTGGCAGACGGGTTGGTATAGGGTTTGTGTCAAGTTTTCCTTCTCTTTGAAGTTTTGTTGTCCTGCCTAGTTTGCTCCCTTAGTCGGCTCTTGCGAAACCCACGAGATGAATGGGGGTGGTGACAATCCGTATTCTTAATCCGTCACCACCTTAACACGATACAATTTTTTCATACACGAAATTCATAAATAAAACACGTAAGTAAAATTTATCAACAGGACAATAAGGAAACAAACATCAATTTATGCGCGCATAATATATGCGATTTTAGAGTGCTCTAAAAGTTCGTGATGATAATTTTAAGTCCAGGAAGATATGTTGCTGTGGTCGGGAGATCCCCTTGTATCGGAAGCATCAAGGAATGATCTTTTATTATCTTCAACGGCGCGCAGCTCTCACAAAACACATTCAATTATATTTCGACATAACGTGACTGGTAAATAACCTGGTTATACAACTTTTTATTGGAATATTTGTTATATAATAATATTAATTGACCATGACAGTTCATGGTTGTCTAGTAGGACTGCTAAGCTGCTGAGCAAGAAGTCGTGGGTTGGATTCTCACACAGAATAAATATTGTGTGATGAGTACGATCATTTCTTCTGTGCCTGAGTGTAATTTATCTATAATATGCACGTATTTACAAACAAAAATCTACGTTTTCGTATACATACGTACTCGTACATTATAGTGCAATAGTACAGGCTCTGCCTAGTTTGGGCCGTATGTTAGATTAGGGATAGATAGGGGGCAATGGAAAGGAGTCAGATGATCAGTGAGTAGGGCCGCCCACTGACACCTGCAATTCAAGAGCCACAAATCTGTTGCAGTGTTGGCGCTCTTTGATTCCACAAGGACTGGATGGCGTAGTGGTTTAAGCGGTCGCCACCGCTTTCTACTACGCTGAGTGTTGTGGGTTCCATCCCCATATGTTACAACACTTTGTGTGTTCCACAAATCACCCACCACCCGCCACCATGTTTCACCACCCATATTCGTCAAAAGGATGTCGCAAGAGTCGACTGGGACAGCAAACTGCGCAGGACAACAGCACTGCAAAGAGAAGTAAAACTTGAAACAAACCCTATACCAACCCGTTTGGCTAGCCTGGTGCAGTAGGCCAAAACCTACTTTCTAATGAGAGGCCTTTATCCAGCAGTGGACTATTTAAGGATATTCAAATCAATGTTGTATCTATAATGTAATTGGCCAGTTGATGATCCCCTTCCAGTGCCGTCTTCACAAGACGAACCACAGGACGACACAGTAGTCCTCGCCCTCAGCCCCTTCGAGCTACCAGGGTCTCACTCCTATTTCTCATCCAAGACTCGCAGTTTCCCTTGCCCCAGCCCCATATTTCCCATTCATTATACCTACCCAAAATTATCATTCTACTGTGTTCCGCCTTAAAATTAAAATTATTACAATTAAAATAATTACATTACCCAGGGGATTGGCGACAGGCAGACTGAACCAGTCAAAACTCTTTGTAAACAACGACCGAACATTTAAAAAAATACAAAATACATTTTAATTTGGTAAATTATATTTTGTATTTTATTTATATTTTTTAAAAAGACAACTACGGCTGTAGGAATGTATCCTGTGTCGCGGGGGACTTTACAAACATACATGAAACTAACACAAAGAACACCCAGACTCAGAACAACAAGTTGTGAATCACACAAAGCGTTGCCGCATGTCAGGATCGAACCCACTCAGCGTAGTAGCCGGCTGAAGAGGGGGGGTGGGGGGGGGGTCACCTGGGATCTAGATTCGACAAACTGTGTAAAAGCATTTTGTATTACCCCCTTGGAAGAATTTTTTATAGTAGAAAATTATCCAAATCACAAAAAAAATGGTAGTCCGTTGTAGCAAGGTCTGGCGTATGGTTTCTAACTGCAGCCCCTGTACAGTTAAAACGGTTTCTCGTGCAGTGCGAGGTCTTGCGTTATCATGGAGCATTAATGGTGAAGATCGATTCACGAGTCGGGACTGTTTCACTGCCAGTTTTACCATCATTGCTCAAAGTTCGGCACAGTAAACATCTGCTGTTGTTGCCTTAGCAAATCTAAGAAAGCTATAGCGAATAACACTATGAAGGGACTACCAAACAGTTACCGTTTTATTGCTTAACTTTGCTTCCTGTGGCGGTCTTCGACGTGGTTCGTTCTTCAAGTCGAAGTTTCCATTACGCTTTCGTTTCGTTTAAACTAAAAACGCACGGTGTGTTCATTAGCAGTCTCCTCTTCAAACGCAGCGTTGATATTGCAAGCCGTTTCTGCCGCGTTAGTTCCGCGTCGACACTCGTATTCAAAACTGACTCGGCTTTTCGAAGTACATATATATCTTTCACGTCTAACCTGAACAAAAAACAATTGAAAGTCGAAAATCGAATGTTGCACATATTTTTAAAGAAAAACCTCATAGCTATCATGTAATAAAAGTTTCACACGAAAATCTCACACCTTTATGTCAATTCAAAGTTTACTATGCAACGGCAATTTCATACTTTATCCCTATTACATTTGCGAGGTTTTTTAAGTTATTTACCTCAAACACTGAAGAGAGGGGCCACTATTATTAAGTTTCTGCCCCCGGTTCGAAAAAATCGTAGATTCGGGGCTGCGTAGTAGGAAGCGGCGAGGTGAGGACTTGAACCACTACACCATCCGTGCCAATTAATAGTACGGGAGCTAGCAACGTTTGGAAAGTAAGAATTTTAGGTCAGCTGATTTTGTGATATGTCGTCCTTCTTGCACTTTCGGTTAGACTCTGGGCTATCTGGCTGGCGGTAGCGGTTGCGTTCATTAGTGCGCATCCTACCTGTCCAGGTAATAATCCTGTATTTTAAAAACATTTTAGAAGGCGTAATTTTTAATTTTTTGTTTTTAAATAAGTCCACCTGACATACTTTTTTTATTGCCAGACATTTTTGACAATGCTAACTATGTGCCATACGCGATTTTTTCTTTTTGTTTTATAAAAATTTCAAAGTATTTTATAATGTCTGTAATTTAAATGTTATGTTATTTAAAGATAAGAAAAACTTAAAATAAATTTGCCAGACATTAATTCGATTGTTGTCTTGAATTAAAATTAAAAAGTCATGAAAAGTATTGCAGTATAATGCTAGTAGTCCGAGAGAGATAGTTGCAGAATAAGTCGAGAATGATACAGAGAGCCATTACGAAAGTAAATTACTTTTCACTGTGCATATAATAAAAATAATAAGAATAAGAATAATAATAATCATCATTCTAGTCAGAGCAAGTTTCAAAAAAAATTTAAGCATAAAAAGGAATATAAATTAGATTAAAATTTAAAAAACAACACTTTTTATTTAAATTGTTCTGATTACTAAATGTAAATTATAAATAATTAATATTAAGTTTTTCAAGTTGTTTCAGCCTATATTGACGTCACAAAAAAAAGAGGCATCTTCATAATCATCATCATCATCGTCGCTGCCTTTGTCAGTGTCATTCATATCATCTTCTTGGGAACTTTCGTTATCTTCTAAAACTCTATCATCTGCAACAGAAAAAAAATAAACAGTGTAATTCTTCTAGTTCGTTATAAAACATTTTAGTTATTATTGATAAATATTCCATTTATTATTTATTCAAAAGTATGTCAGGTAGACTTATTTAAAAACAAAAAATTAAAAATTACGCCTTCTAAAATGTTTTTAAAATACAGGATTACTACCTGGACAGGTAGGATGCGCACTAATGAACGCAACCGCTACCGCCAGCCAGATAGCCCAGATTCTAACCGAAAGTGCAAGAAGGACGACATATCACAAAATCAGCTGACCTAAAATTCTTTCTCGAAAACGTTGCTAGCTCCTATACCATAAGAAAAGGCTAGGGAAATGAATTATTATTTTGTAATCTACTATATTACTACTGTAAACTTACTACAGATTTGCGTTTTCTATGACTTGATGTTCGCCTTAAACCAACCGAATCATATATTAGATCGTGAAACTCAACCGGTAAGATAAACTTTTACAATTACTACGCGCTACAATGACTAAGAACACTGCAACATATATTCCAAGTTATTATAATTGAAGATATGTCTAGAATGACAATTGCGTAGAATTTTAAGTAACAAAGCTACTCCTACCGACTTGCCATTGTCCCATATAATGTTTGTTATTCGACATTGAAGTACACATTCAATGATCATTTAATTTTATTACTTGAGGGATTATCGAAAGGAAACGAACCGATAATACTGGTTCGATTACTACATAATGAGTGCCTATATAAAATAAATGGCAAACGCGAATGTGCATAGTGCGTCGTGTGCGCCAGTAAGTGCTGTGTTTAACTGTCAAGCTACTAAAGTGCTGTTACCAGTACCTACCGAAGTGATAATGAATTATAAAATTGGTAAGGATGTCGCGAATTACCCATAACATTGTGACACACATAGATTGTACGTAATATTTATTTTTCTTTGACCTGACACGTTTATTAGGTATATTTTATACCCCATAAACGTGACAGGTTTCACGTTTTTTGGGTGGTTTATTGGGGATTTCTATTATTTTATTTTTAGGCGACTCCGTTAGAAGAAGGGTTTTGTTCTAAGAGTATATATTGTGTATGTATAGAAAGAAAGAAAGAAAACATATTTTATTTCTAAAACACACGACAGATACGATTTTTTCAAATATAAGAATACTTTTTAAAACAAAACAGCCAACACAAATTTACATAAAATATAAATAATAAATTAGAATACAAATTGGTAAAATAAAGTAAAACAGTAAAAGTTAAATGACGACCGAATGGCGTAGTGATTCGTGTAAGGGACTGCTATTCCAAATGTCACGGGTTCAATTCCCGCTCAAGTGAAACAATTGTGTGCATGTATATATGCTGAGTGTTTCTATGTATAATAAGTATGTATTTACAAAAAAAACAGTATATATGTATGTATTTATATCAGTTGTCTAGGAGCCATAGTACAAGCTTTACTTAGTTTGGGACTAGATGGCGTTGTGTGAATGAATGTGGTAGAATATTATTATTATTATTATTAAATGTATAAACTTTAAGCACAATGTATATTTCTGTGGCACTCGTTGTTGCCTAAAAGGCTTCATAGATTTTGGCGTGTGAGGTGTTGTAATATGCGTCTTAATTATGAGTGACACTGGGTTTGTATCAATATCGCCGGTTTGTAAATTTCTTTAGGATCTACTAAAAGCAATATCTTTGATCAGTTTCTTTTTAATTATTTGCTTGATTTTTATTCATTTATAAAATTAAATATTAAGAGCATTATATTTTTTTGGCTACATTACAGTAGAAATAGACAAAATGTTTTTATAGATAAAAAAATGGATTTGAATTAAAAAATCGCTATCTGAATGTAATGTTTGCAAATAACGAGATAGCGATTATTAGTTGTTTATTTTTACATTTTAAAACAAGCCCTATTTTTCACTCGTATGCCAATTTTCATAATTACAGATTTAGGATTAAAAAAAAAATCATAAAAAATGACAATTATTTGAAATAACTGACCTGTAAATTCTAGCTGTTCTATAGCTAGCTACGAGTATGTTATGTCCTAACCACGAAAAATGGCAACCATTATAAATATATTTGTGAGTTTTTTCAAGTTATTTATCTCAAACGCTGGAGAGAGAGGCGTTATTATTAAATTTCTGCCCCGGTTCGAAAAAATCGTAGATCCAGGGCTGCCTGACACATCTCACATACGGCTCTGTCTGATCCCAAACTAGGCTTAACTTGTAATATGGTAACTGGACTGCTGATAAACATACTTGTATATTTATAAATACAAACCCAGACACATAACAAATGATCGTATTCATCACTCTTTTATTTGTCCTGGGTGGGAATCGAATCTCTGTCTTAGCAGTCAGGGTCATTAACCAGTAGACCAAAAGCCGTTCATAGTACGTGATACAATTTTGTCTCATCCACAGTGTTCCTTATCGCCGTGATGTTGTCAACAGCCAGCACGAGCCCTTTGTGCGCCTGCGGAAGAGTATACACACCCTTGTGTGCCTTGATCCAGAACGAAAAGAGGACTTTCAGCAACTTCTGCGAATATAAGTGCGTTCACGATTACGTCATTGAGCGTGGAGGAGCTGCCAGCATATTGATCAATGGAGTACCATGCTAGTATCCAAACTGTGTATTTATAGTGACGTCTATGGTATTTTAGTCTTTGTTTTATTAAAGCATAAATATTCCTAAGGATAGATTTTTTTAAAGACTTTTTTTTAATACCAGCTACCACGCGCAACTTCGTCTCTGTGTCTCTCAACAGGAATAAATTGTCCCCACTTTTTTGCAACATTTTTAATTGATGCCCGGATCCTATTGGACCTATCGTGATCTTATATAGCCTTTCTTGATTAATGGGCTATCCAACACTAAAATAATTTCTCAATTCGAGCCAGTGTGCTTGAGATTAGTGCGTTCAACCGAGCAAAATCTAAAAACTTATTATCATCTCTGAGCTAGAATATTTTCGTCAAATTTAAATGTGACTTACCTTAATTGAAACTAATTATATTAAAAGAGGAATGATTAAAATCGGTTCACAAATAGCGAAGATAGGTAAGACAATTAATCAAATCGAAATCCTTCTCCTTTTAAGACGTCGCAAACGAAGCGAAGGCGCAAACGGCGGCAGACTAACCACATTAGTTGTAACATAATTATTTTAATGAACGTGGGTCCAACACTGTTATCCTTTTGATTGCCTTCTCGGTATGATCCCAACAATGAGATGGGTAAATTTTAAATTAAATTCATTCTAAACAAATACCTACATTTCGGCAGCCCCGGATCTAGAGTGGGGGGCAAACCGGGACACGAGCCCCGGGCGGCAGCTTCAGAGGGCGCCAAAATCATAATAAGTATAATAAGGTTTAAAAATATATTGTTATGTGTTAATCACGAAAAATGCTAACCATTTTATATATATTTGTGAGGTTTTTTTAAATTTTAAATCTCCAACGCTGGACAGAGGGGGCGCTATAGATAAAACCGTAGATCCGAGGCTGCATGTCGTCTCCTCGCTCTTAAACGTCGTCCAACTCATTTTAACCTGTCATCGGTTTCCCTAGTAAGGGGAACAACCAATTCCCTTTTTAATTTCTATTAAACAAGTGTCGAACAAACAGGTATTGAACAAATGTCGAAAAACTATGTTTAGCAAAAGATTAATGATCCATTCTTCTATCATTTTGCATTCTACGTACGCAGCCTACCGACGTTTAAATTTCATTAGGTTTCGACCAGGCACGCACAGGTTGTCTGACATATGATTATTCTTTAATAGACTTTGTAAACATGAATTTAAAACAATATTTCGATCGCCTAAATAAGTGTAAACATATGTAATAACGTTTAAAAAGTGCTGGAACACAGCCTAGTTTGAATAAATAGCTTTTGATTTGATTTTTTAGGGTCTCGTGGCTAAGTGGTAACTGAGTTTATTAACATTGTAAAATTAAGCAATCCTAGCCAGGCCTGTCTAGCTGACCATTTTTAACACATTGAGACCCCTCCGTGCCTCGCAGAACACGTTAAGCCGTCGGTCCCGGTTGCCATACGAATATCTGAGACAATCGCTATGTCTAGTGGGAGTCCTAAAAATTCGACTACAGTCTTTCTACAGATCTTCTATTTCAGCAGCATTTCAGAGCAGTCGCTCCGCGTAAAAAATCGAAGTTCAGCCGTATCGTAGCAGACTTAAAACCATCCCCAATCTTAAAACATAGGTTACAACCTTTATTAATAAAACTGTTCAGACGACTCTGAATTTAAAAACTCTTATTTTAAATAAGAGTTGATTCAACAAAAAAAAATACTTGTATACCTTCCTTAGGCATTGTGAGGTAACTAGTTCTATGTGATATATAAACACTTATGATTATCGAGTGAGGCATTAAGGACGCAAGTTTTGCACAAGACATAATAGCCTGGGAGTAATAATGTTAAGTACTTATGTACATTCTACATAATATGTACGATAAGAGTCGATTGTGAATAAGTTTACTAACGGAAGTGCGTACAAACTAAGTAAAATACAATAGATAACTAATAATATTATAGCAAATCTGAGTTTGTTCCGCTTTCACGCCTCAACTTCTCAATGGATCATTGTTAAATTTTACATATAAATTGCTTCATATATATTTTATACAATAAAACCGGCCAAGTGCATTTCCGGCTAAGCGCAGTGTGTGGTCCATAGTCACGTCACAAATGCCAACTAATTAATTGACTTCACATCTTTGTAGCTCATCTAAACAACAGTTCACATGGGGCGGTGGCAATGAAAAAAAGGTTGATAAAATCCAATTTATCAATCTTTTTTATACAAGGGAAGTTAAACCACAAGTGCCCCCGTCAGCAAAGGGCAAACCCTTGTTATAAAGCTTGACAACCAGCGTTACGTCGTCGTTACGGACGTAATCTTTATAAAATCAATAATACAAGGGCTGTTAGGCGATAGCAAATTACTTACAAAACCTGCTGCGACACTCAGCACTTGGGACACTTGCAAGGTCTAAATAAAGTTACTATCTTCACATTTTTTATTTCAACAGATACTGTATGACAGTATAAGTTCACGGATCTAGACCAACGCACACAAGACCAAAACCGGGGCTTGATGAAGACAGTTTAAGGGCCAGTTTTTCTGATTATATCTTTTAGATTGATTGCGTCAAAGAAATAACTGCAGTTCTAGTTCCTATTGCCAAGTACCTAAACATCGGAGGCCATTATCTGAAGATCGCTCATATATTATACAACATAATTAGACTATACTACGGGGCTCTCTGAAAAATCGATATAAGGGTATTAGTGAATTTACTCTTAGCTTTCTCATATTCATCACTACGGACTCTTGGTCAGATGGTGGACGCAAAGGGCGAAGGATTCTGTTAGTCTTGAGCACAAGTGGCTCGTGAGCAACCAACATTTAGCATTAAACTCAAAAACCAGGGCTTCATATGCACAGATACTTTTTGTAATGAGGAACCATGTTTTTTATGTATCGTAAGAACTTCAGCTGGAACTAATATGAATTCACTGCCATGAAATTGGGAAATTTGTTTCACCACTTGCTGATAAAGTCCCCGATAGTCTATTCGTAACTTCTCTGCCGGATAAACTACAAATTTCGGTTCCACAAGTCTTGAATACAAATATCTGGCAGATAAATTTGCTGATAACTTATTAACTGATTCTAATGGCCGTTAAAATTTTACCTGCAAGATAAAAAAAATGTACCATGTCTACTGTATACCACGTGATATCATGGCCTCACAGAAAATCGGTGTTTAGCAATTCTTTCATTGCTTTTCACCGAGTGAGTGAGGTTACCGAAAACCAAATCCACCCTCACGCCCTCTCCATGGGCGGCTGTAGTCACTTACCATCAGATAACCTGTCTACTCGTTTGCCCCCTATATCATAACAAAAAAGTGTTTCAAGCGGTGGTAACGAAAATAGTTTTCATTATTTGGTATAATAAATACTACCCTTTAACCATTTTCACTTTAACAAGCACTGCAGTCACGACTTGAATTTTGAATTTTTAAAAGACGAATTTGATAAATATTACAAACATTCGCCCTCGACCAAATTATTTTGTATCACTAGACAATTAAGATTTTAGGATTAGATTCCATCTTACCAGAATGCCTGCTCGGAGTATTCTTACATTAATAGAAATGGATATAAAGACTACTGTGAAACTGCCGGATGGGAGAGAGACAGGAAAGGCAATTTAATAAATTATCCAATAAAAAAATCATGAACAGTTAAATATGTTCATATAGATCTTTGCTAGATCTCTATGAACGAATGAATATTTAGCAAAGATTGACTGACGGAGAATTTGGAAATCATTATAATCTTGTAGATAAAGTTTACGAAAATATTATAATTTGTTAATACTCCTTCACCATAGACAAATACCTGATAACCATTTGTACAATAAGTCACAAACAAAGAAATGTAGTAGAAAGGTCATATGGCACCTGGAAGAGTAGATTGCCAGTTTTGGCAAAAAAAATTACATCATTCGAGAGAACAATAATTTTTTTGTTGCATGTGCATTGCTACAAAATATAGGAATAGATATGGCACAAGAAATAAGATATTTACGTAGAATGATATTGATGATTTGATGACACTGATGAAACTTATAATGTGGTAATTTAGTAAGTATAGTAGCCAAGATAGTGTAAGAAATTTGGTTTTAATTATTTTTCGTCTGTGTTTTTGTTTTTTAAGTAAAAGTTTATTTTCAAGATAAATAGTATATTGCAAAACTTACAAAAATATTAAAATAAACAAATATATTATGAAAATATTATGTCATTTATTTTGGAAGTAAAAAATCTACACTACTAGATGATGAGCCACCTTAGAGCATTAAACCAACTATTTGGTTTAATGCGCTAAGTGACCCACACTTGACACTATACTAACAGTAAAAAGATCACAACAACTAAACACAATAATTTGCACAAAAACTAAAACACTAAATGTTAAATTGGCTCCAGTATGATTTGATACCCGAAAAAAAATTCTATTCCCTTAAATTCTTTTTTAAAAATTCTATTTTGAGAAGAAGGTGTTGTTGTTCTAATTCGTGCATAACATCCTTGTGTTTTAATTCTTTTTCTAAAATTTTTCTCTGTAATAATTTTTGTTCCAGTTCCTCTATTACAATTTGTTTTTGAATTTTTGCTATCTCAAATTTTTCTTCTATTAATTTATCCATAGGTTTTTTTTCTTTTGGCTTTTGGTTACCTACAACACAAAAAAAATGTAGTAAATAAAGTAAATGTTTGATCAGCTGGTTAAGCATGTTGTTCTTCGACAGGCAACCAAGTTGTCATGAAATCTGAAATTGAAGTACCTAGCTTAATCCATCCATTATTTGGTTGTTATTATGTTCATTATTTATTATACCACAATAAACAATTAAGTAAAATGAAAATGACACTTACATGGCAAGACCACATCGGAATCAGAACTTTCATTTTCCTCAATAGAGAGACGAATCATCTCCTGTACTTTTTGCTCTGCACGTGTAAGCACTGGAGTTGTGCTCATACCGCCACCAGTTTTGCATCGGTCAGCTCGAATCATAGCTCTTTTCTTCCTTATATCCTTTTTCATTGCCTCATACTTTAACTTGAGGTGTTTGTGGTTGCGAAAGACTGAGCCAGATGATGCATTAAATGCCGTCTCAATTTCCTTCCAGGCTTTTTCTTTGTCTTGCCAAGTCGCGGCATCACTTTTTTTATTTTCAATTATTTGTTTCTTTGCTTCTACAAGCGACACTAGAAGATCCGTTTCTTCGTGAGTGAAATTAACGCTTCTTTCACGCTTATGTTTTACCATATTTTTTTTATTAACAACAAAAAATAACAATTAACCCATAAAATTGACTAACCAGTAATACGCATACGCGTTCACTAAATAAATAAACATAAAAGCAAATGACATCTGCGTTTCCATTTTACGCAAGTACATTTGGAACGCAAACCTGTTTAAAGTAATATTTATTAGGTATCTATAATTGTATTATAGGTGTGGTTACCGGTAGGTGGATTCTCGATAAAAAATCACTTTTGGCACAAACAACAATGTTTATTAATTGTTCTACAGTTCTGTCACACACTATAATAAAACAATAAGCACAAGCGTCAAGCATAAGCAGAATAATTTGAAAGCTTAGGAATTAAAACAGGCAAACGCGATAGGCGAAGCGGAACGCCAGGGGATATGCATCTCCCGTCGATGCCGGTCTCAGACTGAAAAATGCGCCCGCGGCGACGGACCGCGTGCTGCACCGGGCCATGCGAACCCCGTAGCCACTGTACGTAAGCGGCAATAGGTTTCGCATGCGTCAACTATGTTGTGCACTCGGCTCCGCTTGTTGATTTTTATTTATAAAACTATTTTATTATTTTTAATGTTATAATATTAATTAACTAAATTATTAAAGTGAGCAGAGCGGTGGGCACAGCTAGTTTAAGACATAAATTAGTTACTACACTACCCCCCCGCTGAGACCGGCATCGACGGGAGATGCATATCCCCTGGCGTTCCGCTTCGCCTATCGCGTTTGCCTGTTTTAATTCCTAAGCTTTCAAATTATTCTGCTTATGCTTGACGCTTGTGCTTATTGTTTTATTATAGTGTGTGACAGAACTGTAGAACAATTAATAAACATTGTTGTTTGTGCCAAAAGTGATTTTTTATCGAGAATCCACCTACCGGTAACCACACCTATATTGGTGACCCCGACGTGATATGAACACGCAAGACTATGAGTACGGGTAAGAACGACGCAGCAGCGACCGGCGAAAGTTCCAGAACATACGTGCGTACACCCGGCAACGCAGGTTCTGACGATGCGCTCGGTGATCGGGGCGTGTTTAAAGTTGGCGTCAGAATACCTCCTTTCTGGCCAGAAGAACCAGCACTATGGTTTGCGCAAATGGAAGGACAGTTCGTCCTATCAGGTATTACTACAGACAGTACCAAATTTTATTACGTAGTGTCTCAGCTAGAAAATAGGTACGCCATTGAAGTGAAAGACATTATTAACTCACCCCCGACTGAAAATAAATACCTCAAGTTAAAGACTGAGTTAATAAGACGCCTCTCAGCTTCTCAAGAAAAAAAAGTATGTTTATGTGTCGAGTCGCCACATCACTCCCCTCCAAGACCGGAGGTCGATATATCATGAGTCAGCTGTCTATGCCCTGTTGTGGAGCGTGCCAGTGCCAGTAGTGAGTAGTTCCAGTGAGTCGGAACTGAGTGCCGCTAGTTCCAGTGGGTCGGAACTGAGTGCCGCTAGTTCCAGTGAGTCGGAACTGAGTGCCGCTAGCCCCAGTGAGTCGGGGCTGAAGTCCGTTGATCCCAGTGAGTCGGGATGGCGTGCGGTGCGCGGTGCTGCGGTGAAGACCCCAGTGAGTCGGGGCGGTTGCTGCGTAGTGGCTGGCTGCTGCGTAGACGGGAGAGAAAATGCTCTTCTTACGTGGACCGTAGGTGCAGTGTGCTGTGCCTAGACGCTGATGAGGCCGTAGAGGTAACCAGGCTGGAGCGGTCGCTACCTGCGTGTGGTATCCCTGTAGAGGCCGAGGTTACTGGCTGGCTGAGACTTGATTACTGCTCATCGCTGCGGGAGTGTACCCGATGGTGCTGCTGATCATCTGCTCCTTTTGAAGGCTGCTTCCAATCACGTCGGGGTCACCACTGTGGAGGCCCGCCAGGCATGATCACCTCGCCTGGTCGGAGGATCCTCCCTTTGTGTTGGAGGGACATGACACCCGTGCCTCCACAGTATTATATAATATATTACTTTAGAAAACACTAAAAAGTAAATGTATTTCAATTTAAATACAAAATAATGTAGGTACTATTTAAGTTTTCAAAGTAGATTTTAAGTAGATCATTCGCTTTCTTGTATTGAAACGCAACGAAGCAACGTTGCCGTTCCGCCCAATAATAAGAGGCAGATTAATTTTATTTATCTGCCAGTTTGTTTTGGAGTTTCAAGGTAAAACAATAAATAGGTATCAGGAACCTTTATCTGTTAGATAGTGTTAAATGTCAGATAACTAGAAAATCTTTAAAACTTTATCAGGAACTGGTGAATGTACCCCTTATATCTGTTTTAGGGATGCCGAAATGTCGATAGTAATACCTTCGAAAGTTGACCTTAAAAATCTGTTAGGATACTCATAGGACCATCAATAATATAAAATGTAGTAGTACTATTGATGATTTGCAATAGTGTCGATAGCATTGATAATTTTGGACTATCAATGGTTGTATATTTTGCGCGATAGTTGAGGTTTACCAGTAATAAAACAAGAGACTTTCGTAAATGCCACATATTAACACAGGTTGATTTAGTGTCATTAGTGTCAAAAACGTTATTTAATGGGCTGTGACCCATTAAATAACGTTTTTATACGACCTTTCGCTCTGGTTATTAACTGTGAATTCGTAATCAGTTAATCTATGTTTGTATCTCAAAGAATTACGTATAAATTTCGTATTCAAACTGATTAATATGCCGATTCAGTAGTGCTATCCATGCTTCGACGCGTTAGTCTTGCTGATGGTCGCTTACTTCATGTGGCACCCACATAGCTTTTTTTTTATCTTGCCGATTTGACGCAAGTGCTTCAATGTTGTTTTGACACTAACTCCAAAGCCCGTAGCAAGTTCAGCCGTAGATTGATTTGGATCCGCTTCCATTATCGCCTTCAATTCACCGGCCGACCGCGAACCTCGTTCTTGAACTCAGAATTTCCAGAATGAACCAAAAATGGACCGTGTTTATGCAAGCAGTGTTAGGCCCGTAGGTACACGTCGTTAATGTTTCGTGTTGTTTGCGCAGTGGTATTACCACGTAAGAACTCATATTCGAAAATTGTACGAATTTTCAGTTTATTCATGGCGCCGAAAACTACCACAATTACACAAAAATAAAACTATCTAAAAAAATTACTGAATTTTAAATTAAAATGACATGACTTTCAATTTCTGAATAAAATTTATTTGTATTTCGAATTGCGCGCCAATCAAAAAATTCGAGATTTTTTAAACCAGCACTCTCATAATCAAATCTGAAAATGCTGGTTTTAAAAATCTCCAACTTCATAGATGAAGATTAAATTTAACCAAATTTGTAAGGACGCATTCCCTCTATATCGTGATGGTTAATTTATCGTATGAAGACTACGACAGCCGTCTAGCTCTAGCTGTTTCCATTATTTCGACTGTTTATCGTCACTGTGTCGTTGAAATAATGCCAAAGTTTGTAGCCCCAGCAGCTGAGGCGTTACATCGATAAATCAGTCAGTCAGTAATTTTATATGTATAGATAAACAACCTTGGATATACGCCTCCAAAATGGTAGTTATATCAAACGTAAGTAAGATAATGAAATCAATCATAATTCTAAAATTTATCTTTTATTAACATTAATAAACAAAAATGTACTAAAAACTCACTTACACACTATCACAGCAGAAAACTATTACTAATGTCTATACAAATTTTAATATTTCTTGTAATATATATACATAACTATTTTGAATAATTTAATAATATTTATTGTTATGTTCTTTATTGTTATTTAGTGTTATGTTCTTCAAACACAAAGGGAGGGCCAGGCTAGGTGGATCACTAGATGGCAGACAGCACCCTAATGATTTAGGATGAGAAGGAACTTATAAACGTACATTTCATTGCACTTTATTCTTCTATGAGCCCATTACTACACTCATTTAAAAAAAAACTCGTTTAAGAAAACCAGTGGGTTACGTTACTGAACCAGCTCTGCCCCCTAATTCACCCCACCACAACCACTGCAACTCGAGCTGCAGATGTCCAAGGGTGGCAATAGTCACTTACAATCAGGTGAACCACCTGCTCGTTTCCCTCCTATAACATCTATACAAATAAATAAAATGTTTTTACATGCTCACACAGTTATTTACACAATACCTATGCCTAAAAACCAGTTTAAATTGTTTTGTCTCTCTATCTGTCTGTTGGTGCCAGTAATCTTCATAACGGCTGGACTATTTTTGACAATATTGTACTATCAGGTAGCTGCCTATATAAGGAGTAACTTTGGCTATTTTTTGTGCCAAAAAACTCTATAAAATATTGCCACGGTCTGGGAATCGAACCCACTAAGGCAGCGCTTTTCAAATTCCACCATGTTGTGGGCACCAGATTGTATTACATAAAAAGATAAAAATATTCACACACAAAATATTATATTAAAAACAATGTGTAATGTACTCTATCTCATTCTCACGCCGACTTAATCCTATACATTTATGTTTGTTTCTTTATTATGACGCATTGTCTTTTCATAGAGTTTAAAATCACAACGATGATCTAAATTTAAAGTAGTTTCACTTCAAAAAGCAAGTAATTTTAAGTTTAGATATTTATATTGACAAACACTGTTTATTGATTTGACTAGAATCTAGTCAGTAGACAATATGTGAGCGACCAATCCATGACATATGGATATTACTTTAAATATATACATTTTTTTACCAATTGCTGTAAGCTCTTTAGTTGAATTTGGTGTGGTTGAGTTTAGTGGTGGTTGAGTTTAGTGAAATTATTAGTTATTATGAAGTTGAGCTTAGATATTGTGACCTAGAAGTATATTTTTGTTATATTGTTGACACATTGACTGTTAGCTTACAAACAATTAATTGTCATAAACTAGGATGCTATCATAAAGAAGATAGGTATGAAGCAGTATAGACTAATAAACGTTTTAATAGGAGAATATGAGCTTCAGTTAAAAAAAAAAAAAGTGATGTCATCAACCGCTTAAACATTTTTTTTTTTATACATACATATATTTATTTTAACTTCTTCAAGTATTTTTTAAATTTTCACAACTAATTCTTAAACTTCATTGTTACATACTTTTTTAAATTAATATAAAAATGTATATCTCATTTCTATCAACACAAGGTAAAATTATTATTTTTAATGTCACTTATTAAATATTTGCGTCAGTCCTTCATTAAAAAATTAATTTATAGTCTGATATTACCAACAAAAAGTTAAAAATTCTTCTATTCAAAATCAGAAAGGATGTAAAAGTTACTTAACTCAGTTCAAAGAATTCAAAGATCAGAATTTAATACTCAAACTGAAAGTCTACAGTTTAGAAGTCAACAATTCTTCTAGTTTATACTCTTTCTTTAAAAAATCGGTTTGATAAATATCCTCCGGCAAAAAGCTTTGTAAAAAAAAATGTGTTATCATGCCAGTGATACCCCAAATTCTGTACTTACTACCTACTTCATATAGCGGTATGGTTAAATTATTATGGACAAAACTAGCATGATTTTCTTTATCACAAAACAGTTTCATTGGAACAGTAAATATTTCAGCCACTTCATCCATATTTGGCTTTAATTTCTTCATATCTAAATTCTTAAGTAGTCCAACGACAGGTACAATCACAATATTTCTATCTCGTGCTTGTACAGGACTCATTTTAGCCCATATTTCAATATCCTCCGACCTAAACCCTATCTCTTCTTCTGTTTCACGAACAGCTGTATCGTAAACACTTTCACCTGCGTCCATTTTCCCGCCAGGAAACGATACTTGTCCTTTGTGAGTATTTAAGTTGGAAGATCTTAGAGTATACAAGAGGCACACTTCATTGTCAACAACACATAAGGGTACCAAAACAGCTGCATTCACCTTGAGTTTGTTGTTCGTTATAAATGATGGTAATTCATTTAACTTTTTTATACACTGTTCTCTAGAACTATTACATAGAAGAGCTTGAGGTGTTATAGACATGACAGCTCTGTAGAACTTGGATATACTCATTTACGTCAATATTCTTAACTAGTATTTATATCAATGAGCCAAATGCCTTGATTGAGGGCAAAGTACAAACACGGAAAAGAAATTGAAATCCAAATCACAATATTTCATACTGTCATAAACATCATATGATTGCCATAACGACAGACTAGGGCTTTACTCCGGAGCAAAGAAAACCGTAGAAGACCGGAGATAATGAAGATTATTTATTTGAATTTCCGGATATTTGTTAAATTAAATGTATGTTTAAATTTACGAAATATAATTAGTTCTTCTGCACGTATTTATGTCGTAAAGGTAATTATGATGATTTTTTGACTTGGTCCCGGGCCATTCTGACTTAACAATATTAACGAATTTTTTAAATGGCAGAGATATAAATTGCTCGTTCTTTCTTTAAGTTAAGAAATAATGTGTCCTATCTTAATTTTAAGCAATTTAACATTAAACAAAGATGATTAAAGCCTGACTAAAGTTTTTAAGCCTTCTCAGTCTGTTACCTCTTGGAAGACTCAATGAAAGCACAAAACATACTAAACAAACGAATCACATGATTTCAATGAAAATGAAATCAAATTTACTTTGTTTTTGGTGTGATATTGTGTGGTGTTATTTTATTTTATGTTCGGAGAGAACAATCTTAACACACTACAGTTACAACACCAAAAAATTAATATATATAACAAACCAATAAATTAATATATTATTAATTTAATTTTATTTGCTATTAAATTATTGACCAAGGTTTTAAAGTTGGTGAAAAAAGATTTAGATTGATCGAATGGTATGTACTTGATTACATTACTTTTGTGCTATGATTCTGTTACGTATCTACGCTGCTAATTTTATTTAATTTTGACCTGTAATTATCCTCATTTCTAAATCTATTTACCTATATGCCTATTTACAAATAAATTAAGATAAGGTAAGAGACTATAAGATCAGGGTTATTTTTCTCGACATTAAAATCTACTCCGATGTGCAGCTCTAAATGATATATGACTTCTGAAGTCCTTGACTTAAAGGTAAGTTACCAGGTCATTAAATTCCAAAAAAAAACTTCTGAAGTCTGACATCTCTAAAAACCTTTATAGACCTTTAAACATCTGCTTCCCATATAACACACTAAAATAAGTTTGGTTGGTAGTTTTGCCTAAATATTAGTCTTTACAGCATTTTCAGCACAAAAATAGTATAGCTACCTTTATCTGCCAAATTGTGTGCAAATGTACAGTTTTTTTTTTTACTTTTCTCTACTTGACGTTTCTGTAATTTTGTGTCATGATGAGCACGTCAAATATCACGTTCGTTATCGCGCTATAATTTTCTAAGGTCATGCGTTATGTCACCGCCATAATTATGTGTAAATTTAATATACTAATAGTGAGTCAACTCCTTCAGATCGAAAAAATAAACTGGCTGGTTTTTGAACGTGATAATTCTAATAAAAGTATTGGTTTAAAAAAAAATGCTTTGAAAAAAATCGGTTTGTAGCAAATGCGAAGACACAACGCCCTCATTTTTTTTTGAGTCTCTTACCTCCCCCCTTTAGGCCTGCAGCGCCCACAAGGGGGGCGTTATCGCCCACTTTGGGAAAGGCTGACCTATATGAACGAAAAATATGCTGATATGGATATGGAATTGTTATGGATATGGTATTTCAAAGTGAAATCATCTTGCCATCAGGTGACCCGTCTGCTCGTTGCACAGATTACCCCCTAACAGATTCTGCATTATTATTTTTTTATTTTTTTTTATTAAATGAAAAGACAACGCCCGCATTAGGAATAAATTCTGTGTCGCGAGGGACTTCACAAACATACATGAAACGAACACAAAGAACACCCAGACTCAGAACAACAATCTGTGGATCACACAAAGTGTCGTCCCATGTGGGGTTTGAACCCACAACACTCGGCGTAGTAGGAAGCGGCGTGGCGACCGCTTAAACCACTACGCCATCCGTGCAGTCGAATTGAATTGAATATTTGTTCCGATTCGGGTTCACCAAATTTGGCGGTATGTAAGGGTTGCGGGGGACGTGTTAATTGCGCTGTGATTGGATATTTCAACGTCAAACATAAAATGCACCAAATCATAGTGATGGGACAGGGTTGGTGGGACATTGATAAAATGGTTTAATGATCTGTAGTATTGATATTTATTTTATTTATTGATGAATGTGTATTTGATATTTATATATATAAATATAAAAATAAAAGGTATATATATTTCTGTGCCTCCTGTGAAAAGTGATACAAGTAAAAAATTAATACTCTACAGGAGAACAAAAACAAGATTTAAACATTCTAATTTGCGATCTAAGTGAGCTAGATAAAATTTGAGCACCTTTTTTGTAGATATAACATTCACGTTCACTGAATAATTCAAATTAAGTTATAAATCATACAAGTCCAGTTAAATTATGTTTGCAACTATAAGCTGTCTACGTGTAAATTAATATTCATTATTTAATTACAAACCAAGTGATAAATAAGAGGCAATTTGGATACCGGAAATGTGTTGGTACTGGTTGGAAAGCGCTTAAATTTAAAACCTCAACTTGTTGTGTTTGCCGATGACGCTAATGCAATCATAAGTGAAAGTAATCTAGAATTATTTAATCATAAAATTAATAATGTCTTGTATGAATTCTACAGATGGTTTGCCGCAAATAGGTTAATAATTAATACTACAAAAACAAACATTGTTTTGTTCAAATCTACTACCTGTAAAATAGATAGCTTGGCTGTACAATTAATGGGAGACAAAATTTGAAAATGTTAACACTTATTTTCTTAGGCGTACATATAGACTTGTTGCTCAATTGGCAAAGAGAACTAGATGCAATTGAGAAAACCATATCATTCTCTTGCTATGCTCTTAGAAGTTTAAGAGAAGAAGTTAGCATTAGTCAACTAAGGACTGTATATTATGCTCTAGTCGAGTCAAGGTTAAGATACAGTATCCAGTTCTGCGGTAACAGTTACAAGTATAATTGCCTTCATAATACAAAAACTGGCAATTAGAAGTATGGTCCTAATGCCGCAGTGGGAGTCTTGTAGAGAGCATTTGAAAGAACTATCCATACTAACAGTACCTTGTCTATACACACTGACTATACAGCTGTACAGCTGTCAAAATACATTACTGATTTTGAAACTCAAGATGAAAGGTTAATCAGAGAGAGCACTCGAAGAAAAATTTGAGGAACAAACTTATACCAATCTTAAATAATTACCTAACAACCTAAAATATAAACTATTTAACTGCCAACCAGTACAAATAAAAAGAGAAATCTATGACACACGTATTTAAAAAAGAGTTAAAATGTTAGTATTCTGTTAATGAATTTACTGGCTCATCTTGTAACTGACATTAAAATCGTAGGTACCTACATGTTAAGGACATAATTATTGTGTGTAATTAGCACGGAAGCATGGGGACAACGCCGACGAGTAATAAGGACACCACCATACCACTGCCGGTATAATGCCATAGAACTGATTTGGTCTCAAGTCAAAGGATTGTTCCTATTCTTCAGTGTTCTTGATTTCAATGCATAAAAAAGTATAAAGTAGGTACTAAAAACTTTGACTTTGACCTCCTTTAAAACCACAAAAATATACAACATAATTATGGTAGACTTAGCTAAAAATTTTCTTTTTTATTGTTGCTATTGTTAATTTATAGTAATCTTTTTAGGATACAATCTAAATCAGTGTAGGAAGATTTTAAAGAAAATTCCTTTAAAATCTGGTTACTTTAGGCAGGTGTTATTTTTTTTTTATACCTCCACTATATCCTCTTTGGAAACATTTTTGACCTTGTTCGTTTGTACCTTCATCAAGACAAAATCCCATCAAGAAAAAATGTAATATGATTATCAAAATTGACACTATGTCAGAAACATTACAGAAAAAAAAAATAGGAGACACAATACAAAACTATAAAACTAATATTTGGGATATTGTTTCATTAAATTTTGTGTAATTACATACATGGCGGACACTAAAGTCCCATTAGTTTGTTTAAAAACCATATTTTCTCTGGCAGCCCGTGAACGATGCATGACAAACATAAAGAAAATTGCAGTACCAAGGTATGGAAAGGAACCTACAGAAAGTACAGCCATATTAGTACCTATTTGCAAAATTTCTAACGTTCCATCTTTGCTTTATACCGTTCGTTCTACTCACCTTAAACAAAATAGCGGCGAAGTGACATTTCCTGGTGGAAAAACTGATGGCGGCGAGGATGCCGTACAGACTGCTCTTAGAGAGACTTTTAAAGTAATTGGACTGCCTCAAAACAAAATAGAGGTCTGGGGTAAAGGCACCGCTGTTCCAGGCCGCAATAATAAAATACTAGTGACCCCTGTTATTGGTTCTATCGAAAGCTTACAACAGTCAGATTTAAATATAGACACAAAGGAAGTATCAGAGGTGTTCACTATTCCAATTGAGATGCTCTGTGATGCAAAAAATCAATTTCATACTCAATTTAGTAATGGTCAAGTCTTGCCAGTATATTGTGTGGAGAACTATAAAATTTGGGGCATCACTGCTTATATCACACATATCTTTTTGAGCAGCATATTGACCAAAGATCACTATAGAAATGATTGGACGAAAAAGAAAATAGATCTGGATCCTATAAAAAGTACAACGTAAAAGATAACTTTTCTAAAAAAAAATAGCATATGTTTTAAATTATAATTCCTGTGTACAACTAAGTTTTTTAAAATAAAGTTTTGAATCAATTAAATGTTGTTTTCGTGAGAACTTTCTTTTTCGATTCAGTGAAGGATCGAGTACATCAAAAGTATCACAACAGACCTTGAAATGAACGAATAGTTAGATCGATTTTAGTCTTAATTTCTATGATTTTAACCTTTCTTGGTTTAAGAGAAAGGCATCACAAAATTGTGTCTGGTTGCTAATAATAGGCTTGCCTCCTTTTTCGTAAATAGTGGGAATTACAGTCGGCAAAACGTAGGCGCTTAAATGGGGCGGGGTACCAAGGATTTCCCTTCTAAGGTATACCTGGGTTCCCGATAATACTGGTAACCAAGACGGCGTGCGGTTTTTGGTCGGTTCGAGTCCAACATAACTGTTGGGTTGTCATTATCTATTGGAATTGTCGTGTTTCCATCTTTTCAGTTTCATTTTATACATAAAGCATTATATTAGGTCTTTACCAATGAAGTTGGTGATTTGTGTGAAAATTTTAAAATATCGCAAACTTCTTTTATTATATTATTATTTATATTAGCAAATCAAAGTAGTGGCTCAAATTATCTATAAAATTTTGCGACTTTGATGGCAGTTTGTTCATCCCTTTACTGTAGATATCTGCAGGACGCTTAAAATATATTAAGTACAGTGGGTGACGGAGAGCTTCCAGCTGTAACTCTTGTAGCTTTGCGATGGTCTGTCGTGAAGTGTTATATTGCACGTTGTCGAGAAGCAATGGGGCAGAGCGATTGACCAGTCGTGGTTGTTGAATTGCGAGCTTCTCCATCATGGTTGCAATTCTTGACAATAGATATCTGCCATCACTATTGTGCCATTTGGTAAAAAACTGTGATGTACAAGTCTGGTCCACAAGACAGTCATCATCATCTTCCTATGGGTAATCTTTTTGTAGCGCATTGATCAGGTGCTGTACTCGTTCTTGAACTCAAAATTTCAAGCACCAAGTGTAGTTTGTGCTGCGGTATTTCCACGTAGGAACTCATATTCGAAAATTGTATCAATTTTCAGTTTATTCATGTCGCCAAAAACTACCACAACTTCACAAAAACAAAACTTCTAAAACAAATGACTGGCTTTTAAATAAAAATAATATGGCTTTCAAATAAAATTCATTTGAATTTCGAATTACGCGCCAATCTACAGACGATCAAATCTGAAAATGCTGGTTATAAAACTCCAACTATAAAGACCTATTATTTGAATGATAGAATGCTGTGACAAAGTAAACTCCTTTTTTTACTCAGACTGCTCGAGAGCTTTTTGAGCAGTTGCAAGGTATTTAAGCGAGAACTTGTCGATTATTCATTTTAACGATTGCAGCAAACACTTCGTTTACTTTTAATAGTCACATCAACAGCCTTTAATAGTGTACTGCTGGACATAAGCCTCTCCTTAGAAAGGAGGTTTTGGCCTACTATACCACGCTGGCCAGACGGGTTGGTATAAGGTTTGAGTTTTCCTTCTCTCTGCAGTGCTGTTGTTCTGAGTAGTTTTCTCCCTTTGTCGGCTCTTACGACACCCACGGCATGAATAGGGGTGGTGACACTCTGTATTATTAATCCGTGCATAGTATTGACTAATAACTCATTATTGAAATTAAAATAACAATCCTTGTATTATTCAGCCGTTTTATTGTATAAAATCTACACAATCGCATTTGCTTTTGGCAGTCCTTACAGTTAGTCCAATACTACTAGGTAAAAAGCAAGGCACAAGAAGCGTACAGAAAAGCGTACATTATTCTAGTTGGCCCTAATTGAGCCGAATATTAGATAATAAAATAAAAAAATTAAATTTAAAACACGTCGTGAGGGGTCTATGGACCCCGGTCAGAAAGAAGTTCCTTTTGTTTTTGGTAGAGGTTTGCTATGCAGTCATTATAATTTATATGTGTCGGCAAAAAGTCTTGTTACACATTTTTTCAGTCTCCTTGCCATCGAGCGTGTAACGAGCGATAAGAAACTTCGTTCCAAAAGATGTACAAAAGTGAAGATCATGCGTAAGTTTTCAGAGAAAGGCTATGGAAGGAAAACGGCACTACTCTGTTCTTTATTTGTAATCCAAGTAATTGTTGTGCAAGCAGGACATCGACGACATGTTACACTTATTCTAGATTGGCTATGATAAGTCAATTTTGTGAAAACAGCCACCCTTGAAGTTCTTTCCGTTTACACGGCACTCATCTTTTCCATAATGAAAATTCTGTTAAAAAATGTTAGAAGTTTAAAATTTGGGGTTTAAGGAAATTTTAAATTTGTACAAAACATTTAAGTGTTACTTGCTGAAGATTCCCACGACAAATAATTGTGTAATAAGCACAAGCAGCTGTTCTGTTTCTGGGTGTAATGTATCTAAAATAAGTATGTATGTATTTAGAAACATATGTATTATGTGTCAGATATGTGAGGCTATTATTTATTTATTATTTAATATGTCATAAGCAAATATTCTATTTTGTTAATCAGTCAAAATCTAATCTTCAATTTTGTTTAAAAACAAAAAAGTATATGAAATGGAAATAAAAACAAATAAAATAAAACACAAAACAAAAAAATAATATTATCCAGGTTTATTCCTTAACATTTACATTATAATCTAGTAATTATTATTTTATACATTGTCCAATCAACTTGATGGTTGTCTCACGCCCTTGTCTTATCTTTTATGTTCATATCAGATAGAAATAAAATTTGTTTATGTAATAACAAATATCTTAAAGACATGTATTAAAGTGCCAATACTGTCAGAACAAAAAAATAGTCTAACAGACATAGGAATAATAGTGTTGTGTTTTTCCCATGCAGGTGGTTTGCCTTGCTTTGAGAGTTACATAATATATAGTTTAAATATTGTATCTTTAAAATAAAAGATATTTATATCATTGTAATATTAAGCCCTTAAGACTTGATGTCATTATCCATGTCACTGTGTCAACGGATTACATTCTCTTCCCCATGTATAGTGTCTAATTTTTAAAATATATCTTATACTGTAACAAGGCATATCTGGGTGACAAACTGAAAGTAAATAAACAAAACACTAAAACCTTTGAACAATTAGAACAGTATCTTGGCTACACTAACTTGGATATAATGTTTTTGTGTTGTATCATTCCTGGAAGAAAAGTTGTATGTAGACAGTCTTGATCCTTCATTGTTATAGGTAGTTATAATATAATGTGTGTGTATATATAGTAATATACAAAGGAAGGGCAAAAAGGCAAGGTTACATAGATACAGTCTAAAATAAGGCCTCATACTATCTTTGTTTATATTAATTAAACTTGCTTCATTTTATAGTTAGTTGAAAAATAAATATGATCAAAAAAAATCTACCGTAGACAGGTAACATAGAGGTAGGCAAGAGTGCTCAAATGATCAGTTATTTGTAAACAATGTTAAAAATGACAATAACAATAAGGCAGAGGCATTTTAAAACAAAATGGCGGCAAAACTAAACTCATTTAACCTAAAATTAAACTAACAGGTTCAAAATAAATGAACGAAATTGAATACTGTAAACCGAACTTATAATCTATTGTGAACACAAAACATATCCTGGGCACTTATTCGTTGTGTTTGAACACTGAATCTATACTAGAACTATGTTAAACATGTAATGTATTTTTTTATTTACTGAAAGGTACACTGCAATTTGTCACGACTGATGTACTATGGTTTAAAAAAATCATTTTATTTGTTCAACTCCTCTGCCAAATACTTATAAACAGGTATCGACAATACAAACTAGTTTGAATTTCAGAACCACTTTACACACAATGATGGCCACAAATACTTATTAAAATTTGCAAAAAACATTTATATACTGATAAGCGTTGACGATGTCATATAGTAAACACGATATTCTTGTAATATAATGTCCAAAAACCTAATAAATAATCCACAATATACTAAGCTTCCTCAACACGTATTTATTAACCTTAATTCCGATTGCACCAAACCATACATACAATCTCGTAGATTTCCAATCTATCCTTATAGCAATGCTAAAAAAAAAATCGAATCTATAGGTACAAAAATATAATTTCCACATTTGTTTTAAGGTCTGGACACATTTGTCGAAATTATTCCGTAGCGTAACTTAAGTACTTTTTATTCGCAAATAATTTTCAAAGTTTTACAAACTTTGAAAGCTGTGAGTATATGATTAAGTAGAACTCCCGTGATGTATGAATATGATAATATTGAGTATCATTATATAACTTCAAACCGTAAACAAATAAAAAGCTAACAATCAGCGGATGGTCAAGACTCTTTTACAGATACCTCATTTGTTAAATTACGATAAGTAGTACAAATGTGCCGGAACAGGATGGACAGACATACATACGGGTTAAAATCATAACCCTCCTCTTGGCTTCGCCATAGTTGGGTAAAAGAGTACGCTACGTTATAATTTTTCTCGTAACGTGGGTCAGCTAGCAAATATGACATTAGTATAATTGCCATATAAAAAGACGAATGTAATAATCCTAATGTCACATCGATATCGAATATAATGTCGACGTATCGTGGGTACAAAACTGTGGATTCCGTTGCAAGGGTATACTCGTAATCACACGGAGTTACAATAATCTAGTCATTGCGCCGTCGCGTCGTAAACTATCATCACGTGTCCATGTTTTATATCGGGCCACACAAGAAGGTTTGTAATACTGTATGTTCTTATTTAAAATCACTTATAGACATAATCGATACTTTTTTTTACCCTAGATTTTATCAATTCTTGATTAAGAATTTCATCAATCACGAAAAATAACAATGGCCATTGATGATCTAGTTCTTAAAAATAGTCAAAAGTAACAAAAATGATTAACAGAAATACCTTCATTGTATAGTCAGTTACAAAACAGTGTTCAATTTTGGCAATCTTATGCAAAAATATCGTCCCTGTCAGGTAATGGTGGTATAATTTAGAATGTTTACCGCCTACATCTATTGTACCAAGGCTCGCGTTCCGCCGTTGGAGGTTACTCGGCGTTACTAAGCTCGCTCACGTCGATGGGGATCGACGTAGTGAACGTCGGCGTCTCGAGTTCTTCGTGTTTCTTCATTTTCAACGCCTATAATCACAACATTTATATATTAAAAACAATTTTTATCATCACTGGGTACTTTGCCACCTGCAAAACAAACTGAAGATGAAAACAATTATTTACAGTGAAAAGATTTTTTGAAGTTCTAACTCGTAATCACTTGTAATATTAACTACTGCAGCTCCAGTGATACCAAGGCTTATATGTGACAATGTTGCTAATACTCTATGCTGTCGCATGAAGAAGGACATAGGTACTTTCTACATAATCTTTACATTTTTTTTTATACAAGCATGTTTTGTGATCACGAAATGTAGACAGAGAAGAAAGTATAATATAACACAACAAGCGAATTCAAAAACGTTGTCTTGTCAAAAAATCTTGTCACAGGGAGAAATTCTTCTGTGTTAATAGTTGTCACTTTAAAAGTTGCTGCGCAGTATGTATAGCACCAAAATAATTTAACATACTCCCCATTAAAGAAAATTATATTGTCATGTTATAATTGTTACTTATACGGAAAGATATTAGAATTTGTTAATTGGCATATTAAGTAAAAACATTAAGACCACAACCTTCACACACCAACACATCCAGAATATTGTCTTGCCCATAGAGTTTTTATTCTGATCAATAATGTTAATGTGAAATATGAATATTCACAAAACTATGTTAAGTGGCCCAAAGCAGAGTTTTTTTGAGTATGATAGAGGTTTGTATAAAAAAAAGAATTGCTATAATTAATAATTTAAAGTGCGCGTATATACTATTTTAACGGACAGCTCCTGTAAAGTTTTTTTCTAAATTTGAAGAAAAACAAGAAGTCTTCCAATTTAACTTTTAGTTTACTTCGATGTTAATTCGGGTATGACAGGGGTCGCCGTTGTTTATGGTAAAATCTAAATGGTTATGGTGTTTATCGTAGGAAACGTAATTTTAATTTCGAGTTCCATTATGTAAGATTGTAATTAACGGTTCTACGCGATTGTGTATTACATATTTTGGGTATGTGATGATTGTTAAATGATTGATAAGTTGTGTTGTTTATATTAATTAGATTCTGTATTCTTATTGCGTAATTATTGCTACAGAAATTATCAGTATTTGTTGCAAAAATGACATTATTTTGATACAGCATTTTCTTAATACACTTGTGGTACAGAGCAATTGTTTATAAATCATTTTGCCATTCTATTAAAAAGATTTTTACGAACTTTTAAAAAGAATTTTACGACCGGCCTACTTGTAAGAATGTTAATAAAATTATTGTTATAAAGCCAAATAATTTACGATGGTTAAAAATCGACTAAGGTGTATCGACTAAATCGACATACTTTTAGTCAACTTTTAATTATTCGAAACTTGTGTTTGAGAGAAACAATTATTTTAGACGAATAGCGTATGCAAAATATGATAGTGAGACATCGAAATGCGATCAGAATGTTCTACCAAATGATTTTATGGGTTCAAATAATGCAAATGTTATGGCGGCCATGACAGTGACGTCACGATATGACTCCCGGGACATACCGTTTGTGTGGGTATCTCTTTCCGTTGTAGTGTCGGCGTGGGCGTCAGCACCAAACCTTTCGCCGATAACTGAAGGCGATAGTAATAGATACAGGATATAGAAGGAACCCAGTATACGTACATAAATCTACTTACAAACACGATAAAAAAGAGCAAATAATAGAGATAAATATTATTTGTAATTAAAAACAATAAGCAATCAACTTTATCCCCTAAATTTGAAGGGTTTGGGTGGAAAAGTGCAATTAGGAAAATAGTAAGATCCCCCATAATCGACCATAAGTACTAAGAAACAATATGGAGAATCCCACAGCATGGAGAAGACATGAACCGAAAGTGAGTAACCCTATGATAGCAGTCGTTGTTCTAGAAAAAAAAATCTATACATTCTTTTAGACTGGTCCACATTCACTTAGCTAGAAGACAGAGGGCCTAGTGTGAGTTCACATCAACTCGTTCGTTCAGCGTAGCGATTGACTCGCACTGAACTCTTCACTAATTGCAACACCGAACGTAGTTACCGTGAGGCCCTCTGTCTTCTAGCTACATGAATGTGGACCAGTGTAAAAATAATGTATAGTTTTTTGTTTTTTGATGTAAAATAAACTTACACGAAGCCTCCGAAGCCAGTGTTTGTAAACCTCCACATGACTACAAGAGTCCACTCTAGGATGAACTAGAGGATTTGTGCAAGTCATTGGAAGATAACTTAATATCGTATTTTTGACGAAACAACGACAAGTATCACAGAGCCTCATTGATAGTTTAGGGGAAGATGTAATACAGTACCTGCTGCAGTTTGTAGTGGTTGATGATATCCTGGTCGGCGGGGCAGCTCTGCGTGAAGGCGTCCAGCTGATACATGTGGTACATGTAACGCCACAAAGCGCGGAAACTCGTCTGTAATACATAAATACTTTCAGTCATAAAAGTGAATGAGAATTGACTGGAAAATAAATGTAAACTTAATAATAATTGTGGCAAGTTAAGAATGGATCAAATATAAAAAAACAAACCGCGGGCAAAAGCTAGCTAATAAATGAAGCGAAACGGAGTCAACAGACCACAGACTAACCCAAAAAGATAAAAAAAACTGTTGACAAATAGAGAAAAAATAATAAAAACTGTTTCGTTTTGCTTATTTTTATATAGGTACTAGCGGACCCGACAGACGTTGTCCTGTCAAATTTGACACTGCGATGGTAGCGCCGTCTGTCTGATCCAATGTAAAACATTCCAAAATCAACAACTACTAATAAATTAAAAATTAATTAAAAAAACATTGTCCAGCGGACAAAATTGTGAATCTAAACCATTCCCAGATCCCCTTGAACACACACAAAAAATTTCATCAAAATCGGTCCAGTCGTTTGAGAGAAGTTCAGTGACATACACACTCACAGAAGAATTATATATATAAAGATAGATACTGACCGGTATTTCAAAGTCGACAAAATATTTTCCGGCGACGCGAATATGCTGCAGCCGAGGCATCAGCTCGCAGTCGAAACAGCACATTGTGTCGCCCGTTAAGAATCTGGAACGAAACATACATTTTACATAAACTTTTACCACAAACTGTCCTGTCGAATACACAACTTAGGGAACGAACCCGTGTTTCACCTAGGTTCTCCACCTGGGTGGAGCACGGGGACTATACGTGGTCCCGTGCTCATAATGATGATCAGTACAGTCAAGAAATGAAGATTAATCAATTATTTAATATATCATCAGTAGCATTTATTTTAAGGCATTTTTTCCAAAACATGGCCCAAAGAATTTTTATTATTCATTAATTGCAATGCTAATACAAAATAAAATTATAAAAAAAAACAGTATTCTTTGCGACGCCTAAAGAATCGGTATTTTTCGATATCACTGTTAGCAATTTATTTAAGGTAACATATGGTTTTTTGAATTCTTTGTTGTGTTTGTATTCTCTGTTACGATATTTGTACGGTGTCTCTCGTTAAAGATAATTTAAAAAAATAATAGAATATAAAATAATAAAAAATAAATAATATTAATTCACTCCTTCACTTCCATTAAATAATTGTTTAGACCTTTTGAATCATATAGGGAAAACAATTTACTGCATTAACATCATCAGTTGGAGCATGAGACCCTATACAGTCCCCGTGCTTCACCCAGGTGGAGAACCTAGGTGAAGCACGCGTCCGAACTAACATCTTCGTATCATCATGCAGTGATTTCGTTTAGGCGTTAAAGCTAGCCACTCTTCCTATAAAGCCCAGGTTCAGAGTAGAGTGGACGCGTCCACAGACAATAAACATTTGTTTCTCTTTTTTGACCGATTACCATAACAAGAGAAGATAGATTTACGTCCTACACATAACATTAGTGGTCTTGTCTTATCTATAAACGCTGTTCACAATTTATACTCACTTTTATAACTCTTCAAGTCACAGTTAATTAAACTTGAACTGAGCACATATTGACACCGAAAAGTTTCAGGAGGTTTATAGAAGTATAATATAAAAGATAACTGCACAAGCAGATACTTAGGAATCGATTCTTGAAAGAAAAGAACTCACTGTATGTATGGATGTTCCACTGAACACTGACTTCACAGACATCAAAATTAAAGAATAAAATAAAGTAACAGTACCTAGTCCCCCGGCGCTCGAGCAGCCCATCGATGCGTGCGAGATGCGCGCGTAACGCCGCGGACTTCTGTTCATCCTTGCGCACGAGCACCAACTTCAACTTCGAGTACAGATTCTCGATCAGAGATGCCACTTCCTTGTCCTGGAACACAACGAACAGTAAATTCAACATTGATTTCTTATATGAGCTTACCATTAAAATATTATATCTCTGGAAGCGAAAACCAAAACTTTTGACGTTTGTTATTTGCGCCTTCACTCCTATAGCGTCACGAAGTAGACATAATAGGCACTGAATGGTGTTAAATCCCAAGGTTTGCGAGTCTGTTGAGATCTGTCAAGCATTCGGTTAGCATTATTACTGGCTAACCATAGACAGGATTCTAGTAATAATATATCATAGTCATCTTGTAAAACACGGATAGAATCTATGGCTATTAATAAATACATACATTTATTACACACAAGGCCGGCAACGCTCTTGTGACCCCTGAGTTGCAGGCCTTCATGTGCGGCGGTAGTCGCTTTTCATCAGGTGACCCGTCTGATCGTTTGCCCCTGATATCATAAAAATAAAAAAACGAGGAGAACCCGGACCTATGCAACTAGACATATACATGCGTACAAATATTGTGCGGGAATCGGACCTCTAAAGTTAAAGGAAATTGTTTTACCGCCGCACAACATACGTCGTCACATATCTTTGATACTCATATCTTTATCACATTCATGGAGTGTTTTGCACAAAGTAACAAGCAATAACACCTTATCTATTACTTCATTGAGGGGCGAGGCTGAAAGTATTTACATGCATCACACTTGTCATTGTGATAGTTTTTTAATGTGACTGAATAAAACGAAATGTATAAATTACTATAATAAACAGCTGTTCTAACAATTCAAAGAGTTATTATAAGAATCACGATCGGGGTATTAGAGTAATAAAAAACCGGTTTTGGCTGCAGACAGATAAACGGAATCTTTACCGTACTGCTAACAGTTTTATGAAAAACTGTGTTTAATCGTGAGGTTTTCATAACGAATATTAGCTGAAAGATGAATGATAATATTTTAGTAACAAAAAACAAGAACTTGTCCTCGTGTTACATTATGCTTATTTACGGTGAATTCGTAAACTAATTAGTATTTTTTTTTTACATCATAATATTTATGTGGAAATTATGTAGATAGCCAGTTTTATAGTCACTATTTTGAAAGTGAGATATTTTATTTGTTTCATATTGGTGGATTAATTTATTACTTCAATTATATTTTATGTGAAAATATTAAAATGATATATGTTACATACCTTTTCTAAGTATTTTTAATCGAGTTAAAAAGGGGGACATTAATCTTCCCCATTAATGAACCGATTTGAATAATTATTTTTGTAATTAAATAAGTTGTAGGTACTTAAGATTGGTACCATTTATATTTGACGAAAATATTCCACCACTTCGGGTAAAACATTATATAGAATGGAGACTTCACATTCACATTTATAATTCATCATGATTTAGGGTGCTTTAAATTCGTTTTTTTTTTTCTTTTAAATATTGACTTTCACGATAACAAACTATAATTATCAAAAACTAAAAATTTAAAAGAAGTTTGTTTTCTATTTGAAAACGATGTAAATTTGGAGTCAGGTTTAGGTACCTAGGAAGTAGGAGGAGATCGAGAGCTGGCTGCCCCTCATGCTTTCACGTTTTCTTACAAACGTGCTTAATACTTAAGAGGTTAAGTAATCATTCTGAATAAACCCGCTCGGCATTCCGTCAATACTGAATCCATTACACAGGATCCAAAGATTTCATGAAAAAAAATTATAGTTTTAAAAAACTAAAAAACACGCTTTCTATAGAAACCCAAACTAAAAAATAGAAAATAAATTTGAAAAAAATAGTGGTGGTTTTTTTTTTTATTTATGTATTGTCATCGGTTATCAATATATCTACAAAGTTTGACCGTTTAAAGTCAGTCAAAATCACGCCCAAAGGAGTCGGTTACAAACATACAAACAAACATACAAGTGAAGCTAATATAAAGCGTGTAAAAAGAAGCTTCGGACAAACCTAATATACTTTTTTTTATAAAAGAAAATATGTACCTGCACAAATAGATTATGTCCACCCGGTACAGACTTCATGATGTGCCGTTCAATCTTTTCATTCTCCAATATGGCAAGTCCATTATCGATCAGTATTGGTGGGTGCGTCGCTTCGAAGTTTGTGCGGAAGTCTGGTGGTGGCTTCTGCATATCTACTGTTGTCACCTGGAATCACAGCACGGGAAGTGATTAGGCATCTTAAGATTTAAAATTACTTGCCCTGACAGACTGATTCATGAGCTTAAACCGCTGGGGTTACAAACTTGGCAGCTGATTCTTTTTCAAACAAAATCAAAACAAAATCAAACATAGCTCACGTAGGACCCGTAATATTTGTGGCCGTGGTGCTTCCCTGTTTAAAAGGGTGTATGCCCATTTTACTTCATTTTGTCTCCCGCTTTGCTAAGGAGGGAAGTGGATTTACTGTATTTCCAACTCCTCCAATTTTCTTCTGATTAATTTCGTTGCGGGTTCCAAGACACTTTTATTTCTTCCTGGGACTTCCCGAGTGTCATAACTCGGTGTGTTCGTGGGTCACTGCTGTGGATCCTGGTGTACAGGAGTTACAGTGGTGGGCGTGTGGGTGGGATTAGCTGATTCTTTTTATGTTGTAAGCGTCCAGTAAAAAAGGATTTTTGGAAATTTACCCGTAAGGGGAATAAGATAAGATGAATAGTTGTATGGAAGTTTGTTATTTTAAAAGTTAGAAATAATAAGTAAAAATTCAACTACGAGTATAACTAACAATCTTTAAGATGTCCCTTTTTCATTTCACCAGCGCGGTGCAGTGTCTCCGTATAGAAACAGACAAAACAGACTAAAACCATATGGTGTTGTGCCACAATGCTCCCATAAATAGAAGGGAATTCCCCTTTTAGAGTCTGCCTGCTTGTAATGTTGTCTTTTCAAATCAGAATGAAGGTATTCATGAAAACAATGAGTACGTTTGTTATTAATCAACTTAGAGATTTGTAAGACTAGGTATAGATATCTAGTTAAAAGCTTAAATAAAACACTGATTGTTGATTACATAATAATTTTTACTTATGTTTTGTATCAAAAAAAAAAAAATCTTTTTGATTTTAAGCAAGAAGTTGTGCACAGCATTTCTAAAAGACAACTCCTACACTAGGAAAATATCCTGTGTCGCGGGGAACTTTACAGACATACATAAATGGGACACAAAGAACACCCAGACTCAGACACAACAACTTGTGGATCACACAAAGTGTTGTCCCATGTGGGGATCGTACCCACTACACTCAGCGCACTAAGCCGAGGCGAGGTAATTGCCTAAACTACCACGCCATCCGTGCAAGACACATAGCATGTACTTTTGTTACTATTTGTATTCCGTAATAGGTGAAAGACTATCTTTGCAAATGAATAAATTGAATTGAAAAATAGCTTGTTTAAAGCCATAAACATAAATAAAACAGTGTAATATCGAAATTTAATGGAGAATATGAATTGAAAATGAATAAATGTTATTAAAAGAAGTTGAGATCATTGCTTATTTTACTGCTGAGAATGATATTACTGAGAAGAGATGGTGGTGTACCTTTAAGCTGATAGTCTTAAGCTCGGCTAACAAGTAGAGGTCCATGAAGTACTCCTGACAGAAGAGGCACGCTCCCTTCCGTCGTCCATCGATCGTCGATGCCTACAAAACAAACAAAATCATTAAACATCATGATGTGAGTACCTGACATCGTAAAAAACGACATAGGTATTGTTTTTTTGTCCTAATTTAAAGGTGATTAGGACAGCTTAAAGTGAAGGGGATTAAAACATCCAAATCATCTAACGAAAGCGGGAATCGTGGTAAGTATTTTGCACTATAAAAATCACAGAGCTCGCCCGCCTTCTGTATTTCATAGTGGAGAACATTTATTGTCAATATCCATCGTAATAGACAATGTTACTAGCTATGGTAGCCACTTCAGAATTTGCTCTGCTGGTAAATATTATGTACTGCTGGAAATTGCCTTACTGGGCAATTTCAGTTCACTATCAGTAACTGATTGACTCCCACGCAAACTGTCGTGTCTTCGAAGGTGGTTTACGGAACTCTTTCGTCTTTACGTCTTTACGAGGTGGAAGTATTTTTTCCTGCTGTTAAGGTATTCTGTAATTTACACATCCTGGATCTATGATTAGCGTTATTTAGGAATGTGGATCTGCTATTAAATATGACTGTTTCGAGAAATATGGCAATAATAAGCCGAACAGCAATTACGAAGTCTCCACTCAAAGCAAATAAAAATACGTAAGACTGAGACTATCTCGCGTGATGAAATGTGAACAGTATTGCTTTGGGTCAGCAGACATTACGTTTTTTTGTATACTTAAATAACATCTTAATTTTACATAATAACTATACAAGAATGCTATTAATTCCACAGTTATGAGCGGCCGAGTTATTTAGACCTGTTTAATTAGACTTTGTAATTAGTAACGTATACGTTAAGAAATAAGAAATGAGAATTAATGTAAGAATTACGCAATACGAGCCGACAATGCATTAACAGATCGCGATGACTAACTCGGCCACGGAGCGTGCAGTGTTTACAAAATATCTGTGTTAAGTATCTCTCCATTCCGTTATACTAGAGATGATAATATAATAGTGCAAGTATAGATTCACTTCCAAGGAGCGAATAAAAATAATCAATGCAATGCGAGCCAAAATACACCTAATGCGTATAGTGGAAAGTTCATTTTAAATTTTCAAACAGTATTTGAGGACGTTTCTATCGTCGAAAATCTAGTATTGCGGTAGTGTTACACCTGTATTTGCTATCATGGCAATCAGTTATTTTATTCCTATATATCGAGGATCAATTTTGAGCTTAGCCAATAAGTAGAACAACCGAACTGTCTCCAGGAGTTGATAAACTCTGTTACTTTTTCGTGGAGTAAGAGAGGTTAGAAGGTTGACTAATTAGAAAAATATTTTTGTTACTTTCTAGCTTAACTAAGTAGGTACTTATGTTAATAATCGGTCAAAGTCGATATTATTTCTGGCGAATATTTATCAAGGACAAGTCACTTTTTTTCGGTTGTATGTATTTCTTTTATATCGGTAGACTGACAAACTGTCAGGGGAGGAGGTAAGGCTAGCTCGATCTAAATAATCTTCCAAAGGCTTAGGCGATAGTTGTTTGTGTACCGATTTTTAGTTAATGCGTCTGTCAACAAACATGCAAAACTAAATCAGATACCTTAATCGTTATCAAGTTCGACTAATTTAATTGAGTGGTATTGAATTACTTATTATGTAGTAAGAATAAGGTCTAAAATGCGAAATTTTAACAACGATGTATTTAGGCGATTATTCTTTCAAGTTACGCAATCTGAACTAAAAGTGGGTTTTTAGTGCCACTTCCCCAACATTTACCGTACAGTCATCGTGGTTCTTTCTGTTGATTCAAGAAACGATGCCCTCATTCAAGCGATAACATTCTATAATTTACTAGCTTTTTTACTTGTAGAAACCTTGTAAATCTCATGGGTAATATCTTAATACTTCTTTATCTTCATGACTCAAATGTTTGGCCATTGACTGAACCTGATTACTTATACAAAGATTACACACATTGTCAGAGATAAGTAAGTTGGAAATTGATAATTAACTAAAGTTATTTGCTAGTTTCTTTGGTTCGAAAGTTTTTGGATAATTTTACAGGCCACTAACCGTATTTCTTGCGCAAATGACTTTTATAAGTAACTTTAAATAATTAGTTTAGTTAGATCATCCTCAAGAGAAATGCCTACATGAAGAATATCACATAGGAATAACGCAATTATATTGGCATGGTACAAACTATAAATAATATACCAAATCAACTACGGTGTGCCATACTAGTATAAATATAGGAAATCAAAGTAAATCAAATAGTAACATTTGCTTACTATTGCTTAGATCTGCTCAATATTTGCATTCAAATTCATTTCAATTTATTTTTATTACTTACGTCACCACCCCTATTCATCCCGTGGGTGTCGTAAGAGGCGACTAAGGCAGCGAACTACGCAGGACAACAGCACTGCAGAGAGAAGGAAAACTTGACACTCAAGCTGAACCGTCTGTATTAATTCTAACATGATTGGGTATTTCGAAAGGGCGATTTTTGCATTTCGATAATTGGCTACGAGCTTGTGTCACTTTCAAATCGCCAGACCTTTTAATTGGAACATTTTTGGCGTCCAAATAACATTCCCAAAATATCTGATGCGTCCGAATATATTTGTTTCAATTTCCTCCCCTCACATTTTTGATAACCTGTAGAAGCTTTTCCCACCGCTGAAAGTGGCAACATTATATAACTTTTATTCATTCTATTACCTAATGTTTCAAATGCAATAGGGACCTATTGCATTTGCATGACGCTCGCGTAAATCGACATTTAGCATCATCCCCTACTATTAGGGTAAGCCCCACGCTTTCGACTACTTCTATTTTTTTGGCATTCCTGGTAACCTGTAATTAAGGCAGCACCAATAATTGGATGCTACTGACATTGTAATTCTAAGCGTAGCTGTATGTTCTAGGTGGTTGTCTAAATTAATAAAATATTTGTACGCTTTTATTTTTTAAAGGTAATCGTAAACTAAATTGAATGAAGAAAAAAACTGATTACGACTGACGTCCTCTGCGCTCGGGATGGGCTCTCTCCCGTTCAGCGGTCTCTTCCTGGAGCATTACAGCTTCACAGAAAACGACCACTGCGCCCCAGCCCTCCTCACCCGCCAGCATGGCAGCAATGATGATGAATGGTACTCAGGATTCAGCAGTCTTTCTTTCTTTCTTTGTAAAAGACAACTCCCGAACTACGAATATATCCTGTATCCCGGGAGACGACTTTACAAACATTTGTTCAAACGGACACAAAGAACACCCAGAATCAGAACAACAATGTATGGCTCACACAGTGTTGTCCCGTGTGGGTAACGAATCCACAGCACTCTGTGCAGTAGGAAGCGGTGAGGTGACCTCTTGAACCATTACAACATCCGTTCAGTCAACTAAACAAGCAAGTCTGACTAAACACTAGACTAGACCAACTCAATGTGGTTCACCAAGACTATCTGCCCTTATTTTTGTATCGAAATATCAATTCAAAGAAAATAAAGAAAATATTATATTATTTGAATGACGAGAACGGGTCCATCAGGCTCGCGTGATATCCTATATATGTTCGTACAAAAAATTAGTTTTACAAATGCACGACAATCTACACAAGAACACAGTTTCTCAATAGTTTCTAAGATAGAATCTTCAGTGGTGAATATTCATAAAAGCTATTGTTAGAATTGTATCTTATTGTTTGTTTGTTCTACTCTCGGTTTCAACAAGGACACATCGAAACAATGAACATAACCTTATAATATCAAGTTCAATCGCTTAATAAGTAACAGTTATTTTAGCACAAACTTGGCAGTTTTTTATATTATTATAATTTATGTATCTTTCTCTAAATTAATCATTGTTTAAATATAGATATTGACAGAATGCTGTAAGGTGGATGATTGGTTGTTGTGTACATATGTACTTCTTGGCATGGGAACTGTCATTGTGCGATACAGAATCAGCAGGTATTTTTCAGTTTAGCTTGTCCTTGATAGGTGGCGTGAAATTACATTTCGTAATTAAGCGCCGTATTCGTAGTACACAGAAATTTGTAGCCGATAACAAATGACGAAGCGACACAATATCAGGGCCAAGGTTGGTAAACTCCGATTTCTAGTAGTAATAAAAGATGCCTCGATATTCCACTACACGTAAGTATTGTATTTAGTTGGAAATTGCAATATGCATCATAAATGTTTAAAAGTGTCCTTATCTGTTAGGTCTATTGCTCTAAAATCGATTAAATGGACAGGTTTTTCTTCTCCTAGTTTTTCTTCTCTTCAGTCGAATTACTTATTTTGTAATAAAATTATTCTTAGAGTTAAAATAGAGACATTAAACGCATTACCTTAAGAAATGTTGTTAAAAATATCTAATTCGCTTTTGTGTATGTTTACTAATATAATTTGATGTATTTCTAATGGATTTTATAAAAAAAAGCTTTATGCACATTATAAACTTCAACTGTTTGATTAACTTTAAATTTCACGTTCATCCGTTCGCGCAATTTTCTTAAAAAGGGGTTCAAACTTTTTATAGATTAAAGATATGGAGAGCTTATTTGTTTAAACGCCAGACTAATCTGAGATTCTATTCAGCTATTTCTTATTGTTGTTAAATTTACAAACCATTTATGGAGGAAGGCTATTTGACCTCAGGTATCTCGACTAACGGGGGCGGACTTATGAAGTAGGTACTTTCAAAGCACGTTTACCATGTTAGCAAGTTACTGTACCATACATGCATATCGTGTACAAGTTGACCTCATAATGTGTTCGAAAGCTTATTGTCGGTTACTACATGAGTCATCGTGACGATTTGAGGTCGAAGGGCTGAACAACACTTCTGTCTGGTTTACTTTCTATGATAAACGGCGCTTTGTTGCACTAGTTAGCGTGAATGTACTTTTACTGTATAAGAATGCGTGATTACTTGTTGAGAACTATATAACTAAATAACTTACTTTGATAAGGAGTCTAGCCGTAATCACATCAACAGCCTTAAATAGTCCACTGCTGGACATAGGCATC